TTAAGGGCAAGAAATTTAGAATATTTTATTTTATATTTTTGTATTAAATTTATATCTACAATAACGGTCAAGTATAACATGTATTAATAAACACTTCTTTATTTACCTAGAGTATAAGAGAGCACAGTAAAAGCAAAAATAATAAACATTAATTTCTGTCTATTCAGCCATGGTGTGTCTAGTTTGTGAATGTTTATATTAGTCTAGGGTTTCCGAAAATAAAATGTGGTTAAACTCTGATTTTATTTAAATAATCTGTAAATAAGTTATGAAGGAAAGAACACATCTAAAATAAGTTTTATTGTACACAAACATTATTCTTTTACATACATGTTACGTTATTCTTCAAGATTATATCATGCTTAGTTATATATTTTCGTTCTTCAGAAAGTCTGATCCCGAATCAGAATTATCTTTGGAAGATTGTACGAAGATTTTAGCATCGGAAAACTATTCTCCCGAAATAAACGAGGAGGAAATCGAACCCCAGATCGGAGTGGACGGTTCCTACAAGGAGGAATACAATTTTGCAAGCAGGAAAGGTGTTATAACAGCAAGAAACACTTCTAATAGTTATGTTATCGATGATTTATATTCCTTCACCTCAGATACCGATACATTCAGTATAGGAACCGTAGTTTCGTACCAAAAACTAGTTTACGACGGGAAAATTGATATTTACAATGTAGCAGAGATACAGAGTGACTGGGATACGAACATTGAAAAAGATTCTTTTGTAAACACACGAGTTTTGATATGTAAAGTCGAGAAAAGAGACAAAAGAATACTTCACCTAAGCCACGAAAATATGAAACTCGATTTAGACAAAGTCGCCACTGTATTTGTCCCTATAGTAGGTGATTGGATCGAACTTCTCGTTAAATGCGAGGTAAACGACCAAACAATAGATTTAAGTGGTGATGTTATTACAATCGACAAAATATCCCCTGTCAGGGCCCATATAATAACTGGACAGATCTCAGCATGGGACTCACTGGACTGTACAGGCACTATAAACCGAGATATATTTTTTAATAAGGATTCCTTAAGCTGTGGATATGTTCCAGTAGTAAAGGACAAGGTTGTTGCTGAAATTATCGAGTCAGATCAAGGAAGATGTATTTTTAGAGCTTTAAAAATCATTCCTGAATCGATTAAAAATAGATTTGATGTTTTTAAGAACTCTGATAAACAGTGTCTGGAGGAATCTCATCCAGGACTTGAAATTTCTGGTACAAAAGTGAATTTTAGTAAACTAGGTGATAGTGAACAGTTAAGAGTTGTATTAAGTAACAAATCTAGTGATATCTTCAAGTTTATAAGAGCGGAACTTAGTGATAATTGTACACAAATTGTTTTATCACAAAATAGTCCCGAATCTGTTGAAATAAGGCCTGAAGAAAGTTTAGAAATTTTACTAAATTGTACAGCAAAAAACATCGGTGTGTCTAATGAATTATTAACGCTAATTTTTGAAAATTTTATTGTTAACAAATATATTAATCTACATGTTAATATAAATGTGAAGAACCTGGGAGTTACCAAAGGAACAATTACAGTTATAGTAATAATGTACCACAAAATGGACAAATAATTCGGGTAAAATTTTACTTTATTATTTTTATTATTAAACATGCACATAGCATAATATTTTTTTTGGAATTTTAGCGGACAAAGGCAGCACCAGGTTGCCAGATTTCAAAATAAGGAGACTGCCTGACTATGCAGTACCAAGACATCTGCTGAATGTATATGAGAATTACTATGGGGCTCAGAATCGGATGCTTTTTACTGAAGAACTGAAAAAAGTAAAAGGAGTGTTTTTAATAGTCTGGTAAGATTATTAATTGTTATATTTTTTAGTAGGGTGCAAAAATATCATAATATTAATTTAAATATCATATAAATGACATTATTTCTTAAAAAAAGGCATTGTTTATACACAAACACATTAACAGAAACTTATATTTTAAACATCTTTTATTTTATCTCTAATTGAAAAGAAATACATTTAAAAAACTTTTTACACAGAAAAACATTTAATTTAATAAATAAAAATTATTGAATATAGCATATATACAGGGTGTTTCAAGAAACATCTCTTGTGGAGAGATTCCTCACGTAAAAATATGATTTATTTTTTATCTACTATGATATCTGTAGTTGTATTTAGTTCCTCAGGATTATCGGCAATTTAGGACTATGTCATTAGCGAATCTTAGATGGTTAATATATCTTCCGAACCCTGTTTTTAGAATAAATCTTATGCTTTATTTTATAATTTTTTAGAATCATATGAATTATGAAGAAAAATTTCATACTTTGCTGCACATGGACGAAATAGTACAACTGATGCATATGAGACGTTATAACCAAGATAGAGTCTGTTTTATACCAAATGGAGAGTTTCTAATGTTAGAAATAGAAAATTTAGCTGAAAGACGACCATCTATAGTTATTGGTAACAATTTTTTTAATTTTTTATCAAAAACGAATAAACATATATTTTTAAGGTGACCGAATCCAGGCCAGCGATCCTTTGGGTCATACAAACGAGATTTATGAAGGAAATGTGACAAAAGTTGGAGCAAAACATGTTTATTTAAAATTCTCGGAACTTTTCCATCAGATGTATAACGGGGAAGATTATACAATTCGAGTTATACCAGGTTTGTGATTGAACAAACTATTATTATTATTATCAGTATATTAATACAAATGGGCTTGCAATATTATTATTTTTACCATCTATATTTTGTACATATGTTGCTAAAAAAATCTAAAATATCAATATTCTCACATGGGTATAGTGATAAATGAGGTTTAAATAATAAGAAAATGCATTTTCTACAAAAACTTGAAGAAATAGGTAAAAATGATATAACACAATTTGATAGACAATTAAATTGTGCATCTGATTCACGTAAAATATACAGCGTGTTCCATTTAAATTAAACAAGTTATTTCCATTTAAAGCTAGTAATTATTTAATATAATTTTTTGAATACTCTGTATAATGTAGTATAATTTTTATTATTGCAACATAATATCTGATCAACAAATAATCTTCAGTAAGTATTTAGTATTAAAACCTTTAATACCCTTGGAGAAATAAAGACTTAATTTTTTTAATGCAATTTCACAAAATTGAAAATATTTCAAAAACGGTAAGGTTTAAGTGCGATAAACCTTAATCAAATTTACCTTTATTTTAGTCGTAGAATCTAAAAATAGAATAATATACAGGGTGTTCGATTTAATTATAATATTTTTACTTATTTGGGACACTCTGTATATTGTAAAATTATTTTTAAATTGTAGTTCTAATAGTCCTTCAACGAACCCAAAACCTTTAATTTGTAAAAATCTAATCGTTTAGCTACAATACTCCGCTGTGTCGTATGTGGTGAACAACCCTGTATAAGTTTTCAGACAATGATTGAAATGCACCAAACTTATAAAATTTATTATTTCTGTAGGTCGCGCATCTTACAAGAGACAGCATCACGCAGTGTTTCTTATTTCGAGAAACCTAGGGAGAAATTGGTTATTTCCAGCTAAGATAGAAGAAAAAAATGCTCAAATTGAGTTTTGGTACGAACCCTATCCAAATATAGTGAACACCAATAATTCAGAGAGTGCAAATAAAAGAAATGTCAAGCTACTTGTAAGCTTGGCAAAAGAAATTAAAATAAAAAAAGAACTAGAAGAGCTGAATAAGAATGTTCTTAAATTAGAATGGTAAGTAATAGTGAATTTATTTTTAATATTTTTAAAGACGTTATTTTTGACATT